AGCTTACAAAAATTAAAATAATGATGATACTACACATATAGGTTGCTCCGTACTCCAAGGCACAAAAATCCAACAACTTAAAGTTAGCTACAATAAATCCAATTTCAGACTAAAAGATGGCTAATCCTTGTGTTAGAAATTAGTTGGTACAGTTACGTGCGTAATTGAATGACAGAAGCACAATAATACATAAAGAAAATCTTTTCTTTTTATATGATAAATTCACCTGGAACACCTCAAACACCCCACCCCCCAATAAACATTGTGGCCGGTTCCTGCTTTGCTCCGTAGGTGACTCAAATTCCCAACCTTAGGGTTGGAGGTGGCGGCCTTGCTAGTAGACTATCTTCCCTTGCCAACAATACATATTGAAGCATGACAAGTTTAAATGTCAATAGCACAAGAGGGAGGTGCAAAAACTGAAGAATTAAATGGAAAAGGAAAACCAAAAAGATACATGCTTTACATATTAGAAACAACTGAACTTTATCTTCTTATTTTTATAAGTAACAGCTGAACTTTATCTGCTTAACCTTGTGACTGTAAGCTTAAGCCATAACCACAAAAAATTGCATTTCTTCCACCCATATTGCTTAAACTCTAAGGTTTAGTTGATATTTAGAATGTTCAGAATTACAAGACATATAAGACATGATTAAATGTCTCAGTAAGACAAAAACAATGAAAATGTAACAAGCATAGAGCTGCCCACAAAAGGAGGAGGAAGAAATATAGAGAAGAGAACATAAGCAGAAGAAGGTATGGAATTCATAGCAACTAACATTGTAGGTGATAATCTCTACGACTTCTGCGTTTGCAAGTACATGCAATGGAGAGACAAGATTACCATTCACCTGCAAACAGAAGAAGCTGCAATCACATTCAGATTCATTAAGCATTAAAAACAGATAGTAACAAGAATAAAACCTTTGCGGCCACCATTTTATTGCCAATTTCAGTGTGTATCATATACGCGTAATCAATGACGGTAGCCCCCTTTGGGAGATGTTTTATCTGCAAAGAGCAAAGTGGTACAGTGATAATGTAACAAGACCCAAAAAGGCAACAAATTGAGTAGAATATCTCNGTGATAATGTAACAAGACCGAAAAAGGCAACAAATTGAGTAGAATATCGAGCAGATTTTACCTCTCCTCCGGGTGTAAACACAAAGACACGACTACCCAACAGATCTCTGGTAATAGTGTCCACAAATTCCCTAGAACTCATGTTTCCAACGAACTCTTCTTGCCACTCCCTAATTGCATTCAGCCAGCCAATCTACAGCAGAAAAGGACTTTATCAACAACAATAAGAACTACGCCTCAGTCCCAAACAAGTTGGGGTCGGCGATATGAATCCTTATTCCTTTCATTCAGCTCAACTCATATCAACATCATTACCAAAATAAAATAAAAGTGCAAGTAAAAAGAAGATACATACATACATACATACATATATATATATTAGCTCAACTCATATCAACATCAATACCAAAATAAAATAAAAGTGCAAGTAAAAAGAAGATACATACATACATACATATATA